GGGCAAAATACCTTAGTTTGGCAGAGTTTGCTTATAATAATAGTTATCAAGCAACCATCGGCATGGCTCCATATGAGGCGTTGTATGGGAGGAGGTGTAGATCTCCCATATCATGGTATGAAACAGGAGAAAAGAAGGTTCTAGAAGAGGAGTTACAAGGAAGGACTGAGCTGATTGATGAGACCTCAGAAGCTATTATGACTATCAGACAAAGGATAGAATCTGCTCAGTGTAGACAGAAAAGTTATGCAGATGTTCGGAGGAGACCTCTAGAATTTGAAGTGGGGGACTTTGTTTTCGTTAAGATAGCCCCGATGAAGGGCGTGATGCGATTTGGGAAGAAAGGAAAGCTTAGCCCCAGATTCACCGGACCATATGAGATCACTAGACGAGTTGGGAAGGTGGCTTATGAGCTCGCGCTACCTGAAGAGTTTTCTGGTATTCATAATGTCTTCCATGTTTCGATGCTGAGAAAATACTTTGCTGATTCGGAGCATGTTTTGATACCCCCAACAGTAGAAGTGCAAAAAGATTTGTCTTACGAGGAGAAGCCAGTACAAATTCTTGATCGTGAGGTTAGACGTCTTCGGAATAAAGAGATAGCTCTAGTAAAAGTATTGTGGCGAAATCAGAAAGTTGAAGAAGCTACTTGGGAAGTGGAGGACGACATGAGACGTCGTTATCCCGAGTTGTTCTAAGTTTCGAGGACGAAACTTTTATAAGGTGGGAGGGGTTGTAACACCCCGATTTTTATGAGCTAGTTATATTAATCAATATTAATATTTATTTTACTCAATTAAATAAGTTTCTTCTATGATGAATGTGATATATTATTTTACCATGTTTATTTGTGGCAGGTAACGTTGACCGGTAAGCTGCATGAATTTAAAATAAATAAATAAGTATTGTTCTAAACTTTAATTAGTTTATCTTGAAAGAGAGAATACTACTATTATTATGAGCTTGGTAAAAAAAAAATCGTAAAAGAATTTCAGGAGCCCTAATCAATCATAGCTCAAATAAATCTCTTTTAAACTCAATCCCTAGATATTAAGCCTCCTGGGTATCAGCCGCCTCTCTTTTCTCCCAAAAGAGTCTCACTTTCCCTTCTCAAAGTTCTTCTCCTCGTTCAACTGTCCGAGCCAAGCTGTTCATTGAGTTTTCGAATACCATCTCTAATCGATGAAAGTTTGATTTCCTCTCGATAATAAATTGGGTTCAGGTATTTATTTTCATAGGTTATTTTACCATTCTTTATTTTGCATATTTCTCTAATTAAGTTTTTGACGTGAGAAAAATATAAGGCCGTTTTGAAAACCAATTGAAGTATAAGGAATTTGTGCTCTACAAAGTTTGAAAATTTTCAACTTTATTGGATTAGATTTCACTGTTTACTTCCCACTTGAATTTTTGTAATTTAGAGTTTCCAGTACTTGAGTGCAAGTATATGCCGTCTTCGTTTCAGATTTAAAATGGTTTGCAAATCTAAGTTTTTAGATTCATCACTCCTTAGGTAACTTCTAGGGGATTCCAGTTGATGTTATTCAAGTTTATTTTTTTATTTTTTTGTACGAGGATCAATAGTTCAGATTTTAGAATCTAAGTTTGTTTGATTTCAACATGGATTCTTTGCTGCTCATGATTCAAGATCATATATGTTTAAAAACCAAAAGGTTTCCAAGTTTTAAGAATTAGTTTTCTTTAGTTCTACATAGCACAGCAAGAAAAAAAAAAAGATTTAAGTTCTAAACATTTTGGCATGTCAAACGGACAATTAAAACTTTAATAGTATGGCCATTCTTCTTTTACCTAGCAGATTCTTATTTCATTATGTTATTTAATTAAAGATATAAGAGAAGAGCTTACCGGAAGACGTTATCAAGGTGCCACACTTAATTAAGTAATTTGAGTTCAGCTTTTACAGGTAAGTTCACTACCACCTGTACATGTTTGTTCAACCAAATGAAAGAAAGAAGTCTGGTTGATTTTTAGTAGATGATTTTAGACTATTTGCTATTATGTGAGCTTGGTGAATTATTTGATGAGTTATTGTAATTGTTGTATTAAGATATGTTTATTATCTAGCATAGTTAAGATTTTATCAGTACTTTATTTCAAGATTTTAATGATGTTTTTATTCAAACGTCCCCATAAAAAGAACTAATATTTAAAGTGAAAGATTAGGTGATATGTACTCGGGAACAAGTTCCCTCAGATTATCAGTTTATCAGTTTTAGATAGTCCGATATGTTTAGTGGGTCGCTCCCCTGAGCTGTCGGATTGGCGCCTTTGAGTACATATCACGGGCCCACAGTTAAAATTAGCCACAAAGAGTTTTACAGAAAGTTGTTTTGAGATCTCTTTCAGAAAGTTTACAGAAATGTTTTGAGAAAGAAATTTTGAGATCTCTCCAGTAGTTTTGAGAAATTAATTTAGAAAATATTTTCTTTTCGGATCTCTCTCAGAATTTATTCGAGAAGTTGTTTGTTAATTGTTTGTTTAGTGCATGCTTATAGCCTAAATTTATCTATTGATAAATTAGCATAGACTTCGCAGATATTTTTGTGGATCCATAGTGACTTACTAAGCGTAAAGCTTATCAGTTTTCTTTCTTCGCATGTACAGATACTAAAGGTAAGGCCAAGGCCTAGGAAGATGATGAGAGAGTGGAACGCGTGCCAAGATGAGTTAACGGGAACGACCTTGGCGGCGTGTAGCTAAATATTATTTTATTCCAGTATTTCAGTTGTTTTAATAAAAGATTATTATTACTTTATTTTATTTAAGGATTGAAGTTTGAATAAATTCCTGGATCCAGGTGGTTATCACATTTGCTGGTGATAACTAGATTTTATTGAGTTTTTATTTGGAGTTACATTCTAGTTATGTTTGAGTTTTTTTTTTATCAGGGTTATTTCTTAAACAAACGGCCGTTATATTGCAGTTTTTTTTAATAGTAAGTTTATGTAACGTTTCCTTTAACCCTGAGAGGGGCGTTACATGTACTCCTTCCGTCCCACTAACAATGACAAGAGGGAGTGACACGCAAACTAATAAAAAGTGTTTTGTGTTGTTGATATTGAATTGATAAAATAAGAATAAAGTAATAATGATTTAGAACGAAACAAACTTTATCAAATTTGGTATGAGACAATCTTAATGGGACAGACCGAAAAGGTAAAATGGGACAATCTTAGCGGGACGGGGGGAGTAACGAATATGGTTAACTAATATGATAATGTGACAAGTATAGTAAAGTCAACTAAAAATGCAATTAATATTAGTATGTAACAAATGAGAATGTAACAAATATTAAAGGTGACCAAATGAGAAATGTAACAATTAACTAATATTAATGAAAAATTTAACTAATAGGAAAAATGTAATAATGTATACTAATTAATGGGAGTGTGAGTGTGTAAGTAATAGGATAAATTTAACTAATATTAATGAAAGTGTAACTAATATATAATATAATAATGCTAGTATATAATATATAAGTATACTACTTAATATTAGTAGTACACTTATATTTAATACTTTAATATGTATACTTAATATATTAATTAGATTTAATATATGTAAATATAAGTAGACAACAAGTTATATAATGAGTATATATTAAGTAGGTAATAATTATATATTGAGTAGATAATAAATATAAGTAGATATAATATATGTATTTATAAGTAGATAAAAGTATTTTTTTTACTCCAGGCCGGGGGCGTCTGAGAGAGGGGGCCTGGGGGCCTGGAGTAATCAGGGCCGAAACTCACTCCATTGAGTTTCAAACTCGAGACCTCCCGTAAGGGAGAGTGAGTCAGCGACCAATTGGGTTGGACCGCTTCCTCAAGTAGATAATCAGTATATAACTAGATATAAAAATTGTATAACTAATACGATAGTATATAATATACTCCCTCCGTCCCAATTTGATGGTCTCATTTCTTTTGGGCACAAGTTTTAATAAAGTGGTTGAAAAGGTAAAAGTTGTGGTTGAGATTTGAGTATAATAAAGTGAAATGATATGGACCACATCTTTCTTTCCAAAAAGGGAAACAGAACCATCATTTTGGGACATCCCAAAAAGGAAATACAGGACCATCATTTTGGGACGGAGGTAATAACATTTATAACATATACTCCCTCCGTCCCGTTGGAATGTTCCTGGTTTGACCTACACACATATTAAGGAAATAAACTTACCAGGGGGTAAATTTTACTGTTTTGACACTGTTTGGCACTGTTTCGACACTGTTTGACACTGTTTTGCAATGTTTGACCCTGTTTTGCAATGTTTGACCTTGTTTTGATGTAGGATAACTTTCAATTTAGGGAAATGAGAACTTTCCAACGGGACATCCAATAAAGGAAAGCGGGAACATTCCAACGGAACGGGGGGAGTAATATATAAGTAAATTACTATAAGATGAGTAGACACTTATATTTAATACTTTAATGCATATACTTAATATATTAATTAGATGTAATATATGTAAAAATATAAGTAAATAACAAGTGCTACGTATATAATAAGTATATATTAAGTAGATAATAAATATAAGTAGATATAATATATTTATTTATAAGTAGATAATAAGTATATAAGTATATATAATAATTGTATAAGTAATTTAAATAGATATGATGTACTTCGTATATTATATTAATAGATGTAGAGAGAATTGGAAAATATGAAGATGATTAGAGAGTATTTATAGATTTGTTTTACCCTCTTAACCCCTTCCCCCCTCCCAGGCTCCAACGGCTCTAGAGTGGTTTGGCAACCGCTACAAGGTTGCAATTCTGCAAAGCCTTTCAAACAATTTTTAAAAATAGCCATTAGGCCCGTACCAGCTGGGCCGATCAACATTTTTGAAGACTCGTAGCCCACCACCCCTTACCCGGTTCAAGCAACCAATCCCGGTACCGCCCGGCGGGTCGGGTTGAGCCTGCACAATACCGGACCAGGCCGGATCCGGGGTTCGGCCAACCCATCCCAATCCATCCCTAATTTGGACCGGACAGTCTGGATACCCAAAACCAGTCCAAACCAAGAATATAGCAGATTGGGCTCAATCTTGACATTTTTTTAGGATTGCACAGTATTGACATTCTTTTGTGTATTTTCAATTACAGACCAGATCAAACTAAACCAAATCAAACTAGATCAAACCACACCAAACTTAAACAGATCAGAATGGACAAAACTTAGACAGACCAAACTAGACTTAACAATTACTCCGTATAAAATACACAAAGATCAAACATTTACGAGACTAGACCAGACCAATTCTAACTAGGGATGGACTAAACCGGGCCAGCCAAATCCGCTGTTGTGCGGGAATGGACCAGACCGGGACCGATTGGCCGGTTCCGGGCTTTTAGCCCATTTGGGCGGGTCAAGCGAGCCAAGCTCGGGTCCAATTTTGAGCAAACCAGCCCAAGCGGTTCGGGCCAGGCCCAGGTCATTTTTTTGTTTTTTCAATTTTTTTCTTTTCCTAGGGTAGGGCTAGGTGTTTTGGGGAGGTTTGGGGGGTGAGGGTCAAGGGGGGTCACGGGATAACAAGAAAGCAAAAAAAAATAGACATTGAACCGGGCATGGCTCGGCCCAGCCCGGACCCGGTATCAACCCGGGCCGGTTCCAGGCCCAAGGATTTGCAAAAAAAGCCCGCCCGGGCCCAGCCCGGAACCGGACCGGCCCGGGTCCATCCCTAATTCTGACCAGCAAATTATAAATAAAACATCCTGATTTGAGGGCTTTACATTTCTTTTCAAACTTTCAACCCAGACCATGATTTTTTTAGTTCAATAAAAGGCCTGTTAATTCTATGAATATTATTCTTATTGAACTGCTGTTAAATTTTCAATGAATATTTTTAACTTAAATATACAGAGTACAGACCCTTGATTGAATAGAGATTTTATTTCCGGGTCATATGTTGATACCAGGCGGGGTAAAACAACTTTTATATCCGGCAGAGTAAAAAAAGCAGCCATAAACACAACTATAGGTCTATAATAACCCGCTCATACCTCGTGCACTTGAAAACAAATGGAAATCAGTGAGAAAAGAGAGAGTTCAAGTCTCTAACAATGTTCAAACCAACCAAGAAGTCCAAGATGCTTTTCTATAACAACCAATTTGATATTGCTGTCACAATCAAAACGAAAATAAGACTTGGACAAAACTGCAACAAGAACTGCCTCCCAGACAACCCTTTGAGCCTCGAAGAGGAGACCAAGAAAAAGAGGAAATATCACAAGACCGCAATTAAACCCAAAAATTAATTGCTCGAGACAAAATATACACATTCGACCCCAAATAATAACACAAAGGAAAAAAAGGTATACATCTTTGCTTGCATATTTGTTCCAAGCTCAAACCCACACCAGGCTGATGATGAATGGCGTTTTATGACACAAAGAATAACGTTTCAAATATATTTGATTTGCCTCTTTCTCAAGGGATCATCTTGGATTTTCCTTGTACTAATCCAACAACAAACACACAGTTATTATGAAGAGAGAATGGATTGGAGATCAATCTGTTGCTGTGGATGAAGGGAGGACCAAGTAGAAGCCAATGTTGCTGGTGGTAGTGTCTGCTGAAGCTGTCTCAACAGACTTACCATTCGGTTGGCAGTTTGTTCCGTTGCCAGATCCTTTCTAGCACATAATACCTACAGATGGAGATGGGGTGGGGGCACAGCTTTCCCATCAATAATCGGAAGAGATTTCATATACATTAGTGTTAGGTTTGTATTGTTTTCTGTTTTATGGTTTCAATTTCTAAAATACGAACACGTCTCGCACACCAGTTGTGTGAAATGATTTAGAGGCTATATGCTTAAATGGCAGGATCTACTGAATTTTCTGAGGGAAGCATTTAGCCACATATTATTTGCAATGGAGCCAAAGATTCGCTATTTTTTGGCTTGGGAATATGATGGAATAAAGCATAATGACTCAGTCTCACTTCTTTTTTATCAAGCAGAAGTCCATGCAATTTTCACTATGGATCATTCGGAAATAGTCTCTTTGTACTTTAGTACAGGGGTAAGGTTGCGTACATCTGACCCCCCTTACCCCACCGTAGGTGGGAGCCTTTGCGGCAATGGGGTAACGATGATGATGAAGCATTTGGCAATATCCCATTATATCCCATTGCGACAATGGGGTAACGATTATGATGAAGCAATGGGAGCAGCGTAAGCCGAAATAAAAAAGAAAAAAAAGGCGATTTGGCTACCAAACGAAGCTTTCCTACATTCTATTTTAAAAATTCACGCTGAAAATCATCTCTGTTTGTGATACATATTGTGAATTGGAACTCAACTTTCGAAATCTGAAGACAATATTTACATGTCGTGACGAACCAAGAGATAAGTAGAGAACAAACCTCGGCAAAAACTGAAACAACTTTAGGAAGATACTGATTGTTGGGGCCCAATAGTTCAACATCAGACCTATAAAACATTTATATGAAGGAAAATCTTCAATTCCATTGAATGGTGGATCAATTTATATAAATTATAGTTTTCAACTGATCTATTACCGCTCAACCATTGAACACAGCTGCTCGTGTACAACTTTTGCTTCGATTAAATCTCCTTTTATGGGCAAGCAATGCAACCAAGCTGGAACAACCTGGAAAGAACATATATCACAATGACAAGATGAAAATTTTCAGCTTTAAGAGGACACCAACTTCCATTATGAGCCATGAGCATGAACACGCAAGAGCATAATAAACACTAAACCTCACATTCTATGGTTGGAAATCAATTTTTTCAACAAGGGAGTGTTTGTAACGTTTTATGTTTGACTTTTTATGTTTTTTAAAAAAATAGATTACTTTCTTCTTGAGTTTCTTATTTCAAAATTTTAAATAAAAATCTTGTTTAGTAGTTCAGTTATGGCATATATATGATTTATGATGCATCATAAAAATATAGAAGTTCAATAAAAAGCATATAATAAATTTATTAAGAATCATGAAAGCAAAAAGTCATGTTGAATAGTTTCATATATATGATTTATAATGTATCATGTAAATATACAAGTTCACTAAAATACATAATAAACTTTTTTCCCCAAATGTGTTTCCAAAATTCTGGAAATTACAAAAAATAAAGAGAAATTTTATAAACAGGACCAAAAATGCTACGAAATAACATGCAGATGTTTTGGGGAGTAAGTTTCACAAAAAAACAGTGCTCCTTGAAGCTCCCATTGACCATAGTGTGAAATTGTGAATTCATACCTCTGGCTTTCTATAGAATTCCTCATTAGATTTGAGTAGGAAATCATATTTTAAGTCTTTGGTTGGGAAATAATGAGAACATTATACACTCTGTTCAGTTAACTACGGCACCGAGTGCAAATTGCTTCGATATGACCAAAATCCTCTCTTCAAATAGGAATTACTCCATGTCCCAAAATATGAAAACTGTCTGCAAAATACGCATTCTTTTTTGTGTATGTCCCAAAATATGAAAACTGTCCTAAGTTAAACTTTACTAAGTTTTTACTTCCCAAGTTAATCCCTTTATCTATCATTTCATCATTTAGTTTTTGTGGTCCCATCCTACTTTTTCATACTTTTTCGAGGTTTGTAAAACAAGTTAACAACTTTATCCATTGTTTTCTTAAATCCCGAAAAGTATCTTGAACAGAGAGTATATCATTAACAAAAACATAAAAATTACATCACACTGAATTTAAAGTAGTTAAAAGGTAAGCATTTTTTCATTCTGATTCTCAGTATATAGTATCATCACTCAATAAATGTGTGGCACATTAGCACATAGAAATGTCTCTAGAATGTCAAAATCTAATATATCCCTTTCACAAATATATTATTTACTGAGTACATAAAAAAGATCACCAGGAGGAGCTACATATATAATATACTAAATCAAGGTAGAATGTGTGAGGGTGCGTGCTTTGGATCAAATAAGGTCATCTTTCCATGCAAAATGCAAACTAATTTGGTGCATCTTAGTTAAGACCTAAGAGCATCTCCAAAGCTACAATGTGCACGGTGCACATGTGGCACGAGAAATAACCACATACATATTAGCAAATAATTTATCTCTCTCCTTATTTGAATGGTTGTATACAATTTTAGTAAGTTTTTCTCCACAATGTCAAGAAGACCGTCTAGATATTGACATTGTGATTGACATTGCAGAGAAAAACTTACCAAAGTTGTATAAAATCATTCAAATAAGGAGAGATAATTTATTTGCGAGAATATTACCCGAAATAGGACTAAAACAATTTGAAAATTCCAAAATAGGACTATCATGTTTTTATTCCCAAAATAGGACTGATTACTGCCATGTTTAGAAAATACTGTCATGTTTGAAGTATGTTATTGCCAAAACATGGCAGTAATTAGTCCTATTTTGGGAATAAAAAACTTAAAAACATAGCAGTCCTATTTTGGAATTTTCAAACTGTTCTAGTCCTATTTCGGGAACTTTCCCTTTATTTGTTAATATTTATGTGGCTATCTCTCGTGCCACATGTGCACCGTGCACATTGTAGCATTGGAGATGCTCTAAGGTCCTTAAACGTGCCAACTTGATTATAAACGCGGTGGCATTTGGGTTTCATTTTCATTTTCATTTACCCTAGTGCCGCAAAGGCTCCTACCTACTGTGGTGTAAGAGGGGGTCGGATGTACGCGGTCTTAACCCTGTACTAAAGCACAGAGACTGTTTCCGGATGACCCATAGTGAAAATCGCGTCCAAAATTGCATGGACAGACTACTGCTCCATAACAAAGAAGCGCAGACAGTTTAGTGAGCTATTTTGCTTTATTCCATCATAATCTCAAGCCAAAAAATAATGAATCTTTGGCTCCATTGCAAATGCTGGAAAATGCATCATTTGGGTAAATGAGCTACGAACACATTAAAGCTCCACGCGCATTTGGGTAAATGAGCTAAAAACTTCACATCAAAAAAGCATCATTTGACAATTGAAAGTGCACTACGAACACATTAAAGCTCCACGCGCATTCTGCAAGGCAATCGCTATATGTTCTCGAACCAACCGCTATGTTTGAATGTGTGCTTGTGTGTAATAAATCAATATTAGGAGGGGCAAAATTCTCCATAGATCTTACAAATATTCCTGATTGGGTGCGGGTGGAATACATATAACTGAAGTGAGCCAATTATTCTACTTCCAAATTTTTAAAGAGTTTCAAATCTTCAGAAATTATAAAGATATAATTGAGTTAAATTGGGGGAGGTCTTCCTAACTAAACATGCAGTTATTATAGCATAATAGTTTTGGATTATCATCAAAGGCCCACATGAAACGAAATTGACAATAAATGACCTGTGAGGCTATGATGGAGCCTTATTTTGAAACTTTAGTACTGCTTATAACTTAATAGCAGGGTAACTGAAGTTCCATGATAACATTTAGATACATGAAGTATTGTTTACCTAAAAATCAAAATACGCTAAACAGCCATGTCTTTGACTCTAGTTAACCAATTATACAAAAGTATTTACCTGAGCCGAGTCAATACTTCCACGATGGAAATGGCATATCTTTCCTAGTGCAGAAACTGCATTATCATATGCCATTAAATTTTCTGCTTGAAGAGCATTTGGATGTTTTATCACAGCATTAAGCCTTGACAGAGATTCTGCATTCAAGGGTCCAACATCACGAAACAATGTATCAATTTCAGTACCTCACATACATTAATAAATAAAGCACAGTAAAAATAGAATGTCGTCACCACATGTGAGAGAATGTATTTATATTATACCTCCCACAAGTGGTTTGAAAACTGAACCACCATACTCTGCACAGACACCAAGTCCATAAACAGCAGCCTGGAAATAACATTATGGGATTACTACAAACATGTAAAAATATATAATAAAAAATTGCCAGGACAGCAGCATTCAGCCAACCTGTCTGACATCCGGACTCTCGTCATTGCAAGCTTCCAAAAGAAAAGGAAGATATGTATCATAGTACCTTATTTGCACAGAAAACAGGTCATTAGACTTCTACAGTTGTCACTAAATAAAAACTAAACAACTCATAAAATGTGTAGAATAGATACTTCAATGCTGCTTCGCGACACTGCTCGGCAACATCATCAAATATGCAAATTGCTATCCGCCTTTCTTCAGCAGTTTTATCTTTACCCTGTATTATTAGTAGCAGGTGACAAATAAGCAGAAATAGATGTAATTTTGTCACATGTGAAAGGGGCCAAGAGTCAAATGGGGATTTTATTCCTCAGAAACAATTTATAAAAAAATGACGGGCAACCAAAAGATTTGAACTTTTGTTTTGTAGACAATGTTTCAAGGATTTAATTCCATGACCATGAACTTCATAAAGCTTCTGTACCGTAACAAGCTTGTGATCAAGTTTTAAAAACTCTTTGTTTAAAAATCAACCATACTAGAAAACTTGAGTTTAAAAAGAAAAGCCATTTAAATTTTCAAATAATTTAAGTTTTGTTACAATACATAAGTTATCAAAAAATTGCAGTTGCCTAGAGAAATTCTTGTGCTGTGCAATAATTTCATCTGGTAACCAAAAATGTAGTGTTATAAGATAAAATATCCCAATTTAAAAAAAAAGTAAACTACTGAACATATCAATATGTTTCCATCATTTCCAATGAAGTCAAAGACTCGCTTCTTTGTTATGAAGCACTGGTCAATGCATGCAATTTTCGACGTGATTGTCATCATGGGTCATCCATCCTAAAACAGTCTCTATCTGTGTTTTAGTACAGGGGTATGGGTGCGTACATCTAACCCCCTACCCCACCATAGGTGGGAGCCTTTGTGGCACTGGGGTAATTTTGTTGTTTGTTGTTGTACTGAACATATCAATATGTAAGGACTGCAAAGTTCTTTATTAATATCGGAGTGCACCGAGAATCGGCTGTGAGTCCTTTCTCTTTTTCTATAGTCATGGATGAACTCAAGAAATCAATTTAAGAAGATATAATGTGGTGCATGATATTCGCCGACGATATTGTGGTGATTGATGAGACAAGATTGGGTGTTAAAGCAATGTTGGAAATATGGTGACAAACATTGGAGCACAAGAGTTTCAGGCTTGGTTGAAGCAAGTCCAAGTATATGGAGTGCAAGTTTGGAGGAAGTAGAAAGAATTGTAACAGTAGGATTACCTTAGATGGTAAGGAGATACTGGTCAGTACAATGTTCCATTACTTTGGCTCAACTATTCAAGACGGTGAGCTGGATGGGGATGTATCACATAGAATCAGAACAGAGTGATGAAATAGATGAGTGTCACGAATTTTATGTGATCGAGGTATGCCACTGGACTAAAGACCAAGTTGTATAAAACAGCAATTACGCTAGCATTACTGTATGGCGTAGAGTGTTAGGTGGTTAAACAATGGCACATTCAAAAGATGAGTGGGGTTGAGATGCGCATGATGCGTTGGATGTGTGGGACATTCTTGAAAAGACCACTTCAGGAATCAGACAATCAGAAAAAGGGTGAGAGTAGCACCGATTGAAGATAAGATGCAAGAGTCTTGATTTATGTGGTTTGGCCACGTGCATAGAAGTCTGAGTGATGCACTTGTTAAACGAATTAAGTGGTGGAGAGGGGAGGTAGATGAAGACCCAAATAGATGTGGATTAGAGATGTGAGGAGTGATATGCTACTTATTGGGTTAGAATGAGTATAACATTAGAGAGAGCGAAGTGGAGGCAGCATATTCGGCGAAGGGTTGATGATTTCATTTCATCTTTGCTATCTTTTTATCTTTTTTATCCTTCTTATGTTCTTTACATTTTTATGTTTATCTTATTTTTTATTATATTTTTTTTCTTTTTATCTTTCATTTTATGTTATCTTTTTATCTTTCTTTTTATTTTTGATCTTAAGATCCAATTTCATATGTGGATTCATGTTAGCCAACCCCAAACTCTTTTGGGACTAAGGCTTGAAAGTTGTAGTTGTACTGAACATATCAATATGGATTCGAATTGTACACATCAATAAGGATTCAAATCGTACTAGATTAATTGAATTTGAGCAGATGGCTAAACAAATGGTAAAGCAATAATGTTATTCACTTATTCATTAACATACTAGATAAAATATCCAATCCAATTGTATAAAATAATCTTAAGTTGTATTTAGTATAAACTATGATGACATATTTGTTAATACCATGCATGCACATATAAATATTTTATTTATTATATCTAGATAGCATTTAATTAATTTTAGACAGGACAAGCCCAGGCAGGTGGCATTGTAAGTTGGAGTCAGTTAACGGCCCTGTATAGACAAATGAGATATGAACGAATGTATACCTTCATTCATATCTTATGCTTAAGTAAAAAAGTAAGCTGATAATTTAACCTTATATATGTTAACATGGATCAACTTACCCACATAGGCATTAAATAAGACGAAAGTTCATCGAAGAAAGGCAAGAAAGAAGCCTTGAATGTCTTGATCAATGTACCTAAGATCTCACCAACCTATTCACACAACAAATGTGAAACTTAACGAGGGAAGTAGGCAGCCTAACAAATCCTTTAGTATGCTTTCATAAATCATAATAATATGCAACTAAATGTTAGATTATATAAACATACTTGGTCGAAAACTTCTTCTTCCTGCTCATTTTCCTCTTTTAGCAATTCACTTTCCTCTGCATCAAAATCTTCAGCCTTTTCTCTCTCTGCACGTTCTTTTTTTCGACTTGAACTAGCAGTAATAACCTGTTTGATTTCATCTACAATGCTTCGAACCTGAGCTTCATCTAGGAGAGGTCCAGAGATCTGGAAGTATATAACCAATAGAGGATTACTGAAATGACGCATACAAAGCAAATAGTGTAAGACCTTGATCAATTCAGATACGCAAGGATCATTTAACAGAAATCGAACCCATAAGGACCTGTTAAAGATCACATTAAGTAAAAGCTACTACCTCAATCTCAAAATAAGAGTAGTTTCATTAAGGTACATGGTTTTTATTTGGTGAGATACGTACAACTCTTGTAAATCATAACTCCAATATATACTCATATTTTATACGTAGTATTTGTTTGATTTGTAAACTAAATCTAACATACTTGTTTGGAACTCTTTTTTGGAAAATTTACATCAACTTCAAAGAAATTCACTTATATTGTTGAAATATGACTTTCTGGGGACTAAATCATTCTACGGAAAAAAACTTAGGGGCGGACTTACTACAGATATTATCTCCTGAATCTACAGTTAGCTTTCATAATACAGTAGTCGGATACACTACATAATAGAGAATAACCTGTAAACATTCATTCAACGCATCCAGCATGCTAGCACAAATTTCTGTATCAGGCTCCTGGAAGCAATTGTATGTAAAATATCAATATCAAAGGCGCAAACCAGTTAAACCTTCATAAACTTGTAGCCAACAGACGTATGACCATCACCTTATGCAAAGCTTCAACCAGTGCGGGTATTATATAATCTGATAATTGCTTGACATATGTCTCATTTCGGCCCTGAGCGAGTCCCTTCTCAACAGCTAGCTTTGCAGAAAGTAACAGCTGTGGCATGGCTATTAACAGACAAGATTTAAGCAGTGTGTATCATACAGGTACTGTAGAATTAGAGACGGGGAAAGAGGGGTAGAATTGCACCTGAAACAGCGGCTTTTCTGACTTCTTCATGGAAATAAAATTTCAAAAGTGGAACTAATGTTGGAGCAACCTGTTTCAAGCGACAGAAATGCTCATTAAACTGAAAGAAATACAGAAAAAAATGGAAGCTGGTGGATAAATGAAATACTGAGTCACTGACCTGATCAATCCATGGGTAAAATCCTTCCTTCAGCTCATCAGCATAACAACAAAGCATATTACATGCAGTAGCCTTTTCCTCAAGAACACTTGTTTTTATCCCTATTCTTTTATCCCCGAGAGTGATTGTTTCCATGCTGCAACATTAAAAGATCTAAGTACATCCACAGGAACTCTTATCAAGCCAAAGGAAGTATCTTAGATTAAGATCAAACACTGTGACAACACTTGGGATTTAAATTGTGTTCAATTTATATTAATTTAAACAAAAGATGTGAGTACTATTACAGACAACTTACTGGAGAGATGTTCAACTGAAAATGAAAATTATTTGGCACGTAAGATGCCTCAGTGGGCAGCTAATGTTTTATTAACAAATCGGGACACCCACAACAAAACTCATGACTAGAAGCAGACCTGTCATCATCTGATTCATCAACTTCATTATCTGAATCAGCAGAAGTTATAGTCACATCAGGTTTAAGCTGAGCAGACTGAAGCAAAGGAGGCATGACTACACTCATATAAGGAAGAAAATCTTGTCCCAAGCACTTGCAGAGTCTAGCCCAAGCCTAGAATTGTTTTTGGACATTTTAGGAAAAAATTGGAATTGGGACAAATATACAATAAAGTTGACTTTCTATTACACCACATGAAATCTTAATTAGAGGAATAACTGATTACTTGGAGCATATAGCTAGTAGTAGGGTCATCACTCTCCAATTGTGATCCTTGTAAAGACATGAGCACTTCCATGACCTTAATAAGATAGCCAGTAAGAAAAATACAGGCAGTTAACGATTTTGTCAAACAGCAGTATGTAATGGAGGCAAAGTTAAGATAAAATAAACATTCAGTTCCTCCAAGGCCGCCACATGAAGTGAATCTAATGGAAGAAAAATTGAAGTTAAATAGTACATAGGATAAACAAAATATAGGCCAATGATTAAAGAAATACCTGTTTTCAAATAGTTAATGCATTAACAGACATGCATGATAAAAATCTTTAAATCACTGTGTGCAAAATAGGGCGATGTAGAGAGTCCAAATAATACCTGCTTAGCATCATCCCTAAACTTCTCTTTTCCAACAGCCATCCCAACCAAGCTAATGCACTCCATTGCTTTGGCCCGGAGCATGCGGTTTGCTTTGTCATTTGCATTAACAAGGATGGTTTTCAAATAGGGCATCACAGCATCATAATATTTTTGGAAGTGCTCCTGTTGACGCATTGGTTCTTCTCATTAAGGTATGTACAAATGAAAATTCTGCAAAGTTAATAACACTCGAGTAAAAAAACGTAATTCAAGACAATACCTGTGATGAATCAGCGACGGAAGCCAGTGCTGTTAATGCTCCTTCTTGCACCATTTGTTTACCATTCTGAAATGTCAAGGAGTGATCAGTTTATTTTATCAACCTCTTTTTCAAGGGGTTGTGCATTACAGCATCATAATACTTGTCATTTTGTTTACCATTTCTTCAAAATGAATAACAAGCCGAAAGGATGCATTTAACAATTCAATACCTGCAGCAGTACAAGCAGTTTGCTAACAATACCATCCAAGTACGGTGTCAAAAGTTCAGGTGTGCAGTTCTCACTGAAGTTGAGGACAGCTGAAGCTGCGTGTGCCTGTGTAACCAGAGTTAACAAATGACCAAGTAAATCACTAAATCAGGAGTGTGTGAAAATTTGCAAGCACAGTGACACATCAAGACTTAATTCTGGGCTTTTACAAATGATCATTTTGGGTCATTTATATTCATAAAACCAGCATCACGCATTATATATAACAATCAGGGTATTTTTAGCCCATTGAAAACCTAATATATATGCCTTTTAGACAAATTAGCAAAATTTGCATCACGCAGCTTTAATTGTTCTGATTTCTTCTTAGGTAGAAATATATCCAATGGAGATAATGGAACATCAAATACCCTGATTCTTCTGGTGAACTTTGAGTGAAGATGAGATGAGAGTTAACCTTTACATATTCTTTTTAGTCTATACCTCTTGTGTTGTACGCCACTCAGGTATGTCTGGCGCCTCAATTCTATGCTTAAATATAACTTGTGTTTATCATTTTAAAGTTTTAGGGTCGTGAATTTTGACTGTCTGATTGGTAACCCAAAGTCTAAACTCTACTTTGTGGCTAAGTGGCTTATAATGCTTTAATTTATGACTTTTTTGTTTCCTTAAATGTTCTGCATCACATACTTAGTTTTAATTTATTTTCTATTCTGTATACTTTGAGCTTACGCCACAAACCACCTCAAGGCTAACACATTGCCTCATATAAACACAATGCCTAGAGGCTTAAAACCATATTTTAAAACCTTGCAACATAGCAGAATAAAAACTTTCATACAGTCTGGTAAATTTTCTCAGGCACTACATGGGATGAAAATTTATTGGATCAATACGAGAAAAGAAAACCTTAAATGTTAGTCCCATTTATGTTTTAAGAAGAGACAACTAAACAAGCTTATGCATTGCAATCATTGTTTCACCTTGCGCAATGCAATAGCACAATGAGGCGCACCTCAGGGACATTCTACGCAAAGGCACAGAATTGCATTGCCAAAGGCACAAGAGTATAAATGCGCGCTATGTTGCGCAGAGGTGCACGCTATCTGCGATGCACAACAAGGCGCAGTGAGGCGGTCGCCTTATGAGCTGAAGTAGATATGTGGGGCGATAGGGCCCACTTTTTATTTTCTTTTAGTTCGCCATAGTGTACGCTATTCCCTTCACTGCTTAACCCTGCGTTTTCGACCTGCGTGTCCGCTATTCACCATAGTGTTCCCTACCTGCATTGCTGCTTAACCCTTTGTTTGCTGCGTGATTCACAGGTGCTTCTTCATAGGCCGTAAACTTCATCTGATCAAGTTTCATATGCTTCTCATTTAACTTCAATGTTTTTGTTAGAAATATATGATATGATTGTCATACTACCTGTATCAGTGTCATGGTTTTAATCTTAATTTCAGTTAATAAAGTATTTGACATTGCTTTGATAAGTGATATAGAAACTTAATTCTACATATTATCTTATTATTAATATTAATATTAATATTAATGTTAATATTATCTTAATTAGAATTTGCTATTATATTACATTTGATGGGTTTTGATGAGAACCTTTCTTTAGTTTTAATTGTGTTTATAAACACACACACACATATATGTGCATATATAAAATTTACGCATCAGGTATAGTGGTAATGTGGTATACATCTTTTTGCGCAATGAGGCTTACGCAATATGCAATAATAATAAAACACCACGAGTACAAAATACGCAATTTCGAACCTTGATTGAAAGTAAGAAGTAGAATGATGGTATCTTGTACGAGATATATCATAACCACATCGGTATTATTTAGAAGTGAATGAGCCACAAGGAATATATCTCAGTTCCTTAATGACTTCTTTGGTGATTGGGTTTGAGAAGCAACTCTTTTACTCTCAAGTAGTCTGAAGATTTTGAAATGTTTGTGTGTATGGGAAGTGTAATCGTTTGATATAGAACTACAGAAGCTCCACCAACTAAACTGTTATGGCAAAGCAGTAACTGCAGAAACCAGTGCACAAGTAATAGTGTGATTAATGTGTAATGAAATACAACTTGGAAGCTCATAACCCACAAAAAAGCAGGAAAAGAGAAAAAGGAGCAAATCTGCATCTTTTATCAGTATCATCATATATAAACTCTAACTGAACTCTTAAAATCATTGGCAGGTTAGCCTCTAAATCTATCTAAAGGTAAGCATAAATAGATTCAAGTCGTCTAACAGAAATATAGACATAAAAAAGAAGTAAAAGAACACAAAAATGAAAATTGATTTTAAGAGGTGGATTTTTTTCTGTTCCAGTATCCAGTGTTATTCATCAATGATGGTCCAGTGTTATTCATCAGAGATGGTGATACTGTGATAGTATTAGCAACCACGCAACCTCATTCATTTGGGACTAATACTTTATCCTTGTCAGCGTATCCATTTAGAACGTTATGAGTTGTGAAAAGGGATTTTAAATTGAAAATACAAAATGTATAATTACTTGACCATATGCATTGGTTGTTCAAATAAAACAACCATACTTCTTATGGATTAAGGTTTAAAATGACCAACCTGTACTCGTGGATTCTGAAAATCATCCATAGCAGTAGCTAGTGCTGGCAATACACGGTTATGGTACTGCATTTGCAAATCTGGACCCAAGTCAGTAGACAACTGACCTATTGCATTGATGGCCGCCCACCTAACTCTTGGGTGAGGATCTTGAAATGAACTCAGAACCATACTAACTACTTGTTCCAAATTCTTAATCATCACCTATACCAGCAAACCGGAATTGATGTTCAGTTAAATCATTCAGAAGGCAAAAGCAACCCAAAACTACATAATGCCACATGGGACTTTTCATTCAAGAAGTTGGAAGGTTGACTTTTTTACATAATCACATAGTAGTGAAAAGATGGTCCTAATCCAAACATTGAAATCCAATCTTGGCAGAAATACAAATACAATTCGTCATTAAAAATAAATGAATGCATCAACTATCTGTTTTCTATACTGCATTTAGATAGGCGGCAACAGAACAGCTCTAAGTTGTTATTACAAAAGAACGAAGAAAAGCATTTGGTATTACCTTTGAGCAACCTTCAGCAATCTGGGCAAGTGCAATGAGGGCTGCATGGTGTTCTTGCCATTCTGGAGCAGCTAAGTAGGCAGGAAGCTGCTCTGAGGCAACAGGTACTATGGTATTCCCGCCTAATGCCATGGATAAACGGTCTAAATACTCCTGTCCAGCACTGTAGTTACTGGTTTCACCAGCATCCTCATTTTCAGCCTCAGCTGAATGCCAGGCAGGCTCATCCTCAATATCAAGCAACATCTTCAATAAAATAGCAAAAAGTCCACTAATGAACTGAGGCAGTTTTCTCATCATCCCAGGGGCCCTCTCCCTTGCCTCAGCCAGAGTAATTACAAACTCTATAGCCAGATGTCTAGTCCCTTCCTCCAAACTATCAGCCTGGGCTATCTGGAGCATTGATCCTACAACATCCACTAGCTGCCTCCTCAGGAATCTGGGTTCAGTACCAGCCAACTCAATGAGCAGTTCTAACGCCTCCTGTGCGGTTGCCTCCTGACTGCTATTCAGAGACTCAGTCAACGTCTTCATCATAGATGGCAATAGATCTTGAAAACGGTCCCTCTCAGTGGAGCTTGTCAAACACTGAACAAAATTGATGACGGCACTCAAAGCTGCAATCCTGACATCCGAATGGGGTGAATTATTCAACGTCTGCAGGAAGACAGAATGCAAATCCTTGATGAAAGGAACCAGCGTCTCGCCTATGAACTGAGCCAATTGAGCGAAGATTAAGAAAGCAGACTCCTGTAGCTTTGGTGAATCGGAAGTAACGCATTGAAACATGAAAGGCAAGATTTCAGGCCATTGGTTCTCAGGGAGGATCGAGGATGCGAGCTCGGATATGGTGTCGCAGAGCTTTTTAGTAATCGATTTAGCCTCCTCCCGCTGAATGCAAGTTAGAAGGGTGGATTTGATGCCGGACTGAGTGGACGGAGTGAGATTTGGCCAGATAAAAGAATCGTCCCTGGTGAGGAGCTTGCGAAGGAGTATAGCAGCCATGGCGCGAGCTTCGACGTGGACGGACGAGCTGAGGACATGGGCTAACCTCAGAACGAGCGCGTTGGGATCGTTCTGCTTGATGAGGTTGAAGATAGACTCGGCCTGGGATCTCTGCTCGTTGGCGGGGGACATGAGATGAGAGACTAGGGTTTCAAACGCCCCCGGATCGGTGCCCATGATTGCGGCGAGCTGTGCTTGCTGGAACTGAGCAGACCCTGCATCCATGACTCAAGATGAATTAGGGTTTTCCTGCAGTTGGAAGAAGATTTGAAGAGAAAGGGCCCTGGAAATGGCGACTGGCTCCTTCTCTCTCACACACAGTCACCGAAATGTGCGTGTCTCGCTATCAATATATAGCGCTTTTCACGAGGGCGGGCACTGTAAAGAGGTAGCAAAAACTTTCAGGGTTTATGCAAGTTGTGCCTTTTATTCAAATCCTACCCTGTACGGAGAAACTTGAACCATCAGCTGTAGCCTGTAGGGACCCCTTTAAAACTGTGCTTTCTGGAGTAGCAAAAAGGTACTCCTTTCCTCTAATCTCATTTCTTTCGCGAGAAATTTACCCAAATTAGACCAAAACTTATGTAAATTGCAAGAATAGGACACTCAGGTTTCCGCTCACGCGCATAGGACTAATTATGCGTTGAAATGCAAAAAATGACCTTCCAAATCGCTACATGTACTCTGAACTCATTGACGGTTACACAACTCCCATTACGGCACCTCCCGGTTTCCAAGTTGCCACTATTATTACCACGGAAAAAAAGATTCCAAAAATTAAATGAAGATGTATTGGAAGTCTTACCGTTGAGAGATTGCCAGTCAGTCGACGTAACTACCTTGAGGAGAGTCACTTCATTGAGGAGAGTCGCTTGGTTGAGGATAGTTGAAGGACGAAGCCATTGACGACAAAAAGATGGATTTATCAAATACAGTTTCCGTTAGAATCAATTCCAAAATGGTATGTACTCATTTCTTATCATAATGCCTGCAATTGAATGTCGTTTGGCAGTTAATAAGGTTCGAAACAAATTTGATTAATGTAAATACGTTTTAAATTAGCCGCGCAAAAACTCATATGATGAATACTATTGCATTCGCAATAGAGTAAATGACATGTTTAGTAACATCATATTAAATGATAATGTTGTTATATAGTAGCATTGGAAGCATATTTGAAAACTGTGATGACATTTTGCTTTAGGTTGAAAACAAAATGACATCACATATAATGAGAAATTGAGAAACTGGTGCACTAATGACAGTTTAATAAATTTTACTTGCTCGTATGGTGGCATTTTGTATGAAAATGACATTCCATGAGTATGTGGTTATATACTGGCAATGTAACCTTATATGAATGTTATCGTGACATTATGCATTAAATAATGACATTGTATGAATATGTGTGAACTTCAAAGCAAAATGACATCACATATAATGAGAAATTGAGAAATTGATGCACTAAAGACAGTTTAATAAATTTTACTTGCTCATATAGTTGCATTTTGTATGAAAGTGACATTACATGAGTATGTGGTTATGTACTGGCAATGTAACCTTATATGAATGTTATCATGACATTATGCATTAAATAATGACATTGTATGAAAATGTGTTAGGTTGAAAACAAAATGGCATCACATATAATGAGAAAATGAGAAATTTTTGAAACCAGCGCCCTAAAACTTTCGGTTCTAGTGAGAGTTGAGAGCTCACTCTCCCGAATTGGCCTTTAACGGTCATATTTGGCTCTCTCACGCCGGAAAACACCACTCACCACCGCTAACCACCGCAAACCACCACCACACCATAACCATACGAAGCTTGGACATCCATTGTATTACCCTCGCAGCTCTTGGGGGTGTAATATCTCGGATATCTAGCCCTCTTCTTCGCAAAACAGTTCGCACAACACTATTCATACGAGAAGGTCAATGCACTTTCCCATCGACTCTCTTGCTCAATTTTCAAACGGAAGGTAGCTTTGGACTCCCCTTGGTGTGGGGATTAAGCAAATCAAATTTGTTTCATCATCAGCCAAGTCCGTACAGTGTGTTACTATTCATCAACGCCTCCATTGTTACGAATTCTTAGCTCGAAGCAAGGTAATTTCCGCTTGGAGGGGTAGCTTTCTTTAGCTTCCCCTTCCATGGTATTAAGCTAACTCTTGTCGTATTATCATCATGCCTAAGTCCGTAAAGAAAAAGGAGTTTGCTATGTACCCAAAGATGCCTTCAATGAAGTCGCCTTCTAGACTTAAAGCCAGAGCTCAAGCTAAGGAGGTTGAACAAGCAAATTTGGCTATTGACCAAATTAGTGATGCTGAATTGGGTGCTGATTTGGAGGAGTCAAGTGGAAGTGAAATGGAAGACACCCCTACTCCCATCATGGCCGTGAAGGGGACGGAGGTTGACAATGTTGCTGCGCACACACCACCTCCTCAAAACATAGAGAAGGAGGCTGTTAGTTCTTTAAGAGAAGATGAAACTATGACCAATAAAGAGGGCACTTTGATTACTACTGAGGTCAAAACTCAACAAGAGGGCAATGTGAATGATGTATATGCCACGGCATTGAGCAAGAAAATAACATGGAAGGACACGGACTCATCTAAACCAAAGCCATTTGCATCTCTTTTCAAAGACAATAGAGAGCTGAAGAAAGGTATGAAACTTAGATATATTGAACCCGTGGGTGAATATGTTGATTTGTCTATGAGGACTATGAAATCAATGGTGGAAATTTGGGGGCATTGTTTAGTAGGATACTTTGCCGGAAGGTACCCCGGGTTTAAACCCATTCAAGAACTAGTAAACAAATGGGGTGTCCAATGCCGTGTGAGAACACATGATAGAGGTTGGGTGATCTTTAGGTTCCAAAATGAAGATGATAGAACTAAAGTACTCATGGAAGGCCCATACTCATTATCTGGTAAATCATTGTATCTAAAGACCTTGTCCGAGGACTTCTCATTCCAACGTGAAGAATTCCTAAAGGTACATATTTGGGTGAAATTGCCTCATCTTCCTATGCAACTTTGGAATGAGGATGTTATTAGTGAGGTGGCTTCTCGGATTGGTATTCCTTTGACAACGGACCGGGTTACACAAGAGAAAGCTAGATCACATTTTGCTAGAGTCTTGGTGGAAGTGGATGCGGCTAAACCTCCACCCTTACAACTTAAAATCAAGATGCGAAATGGAAGACTTCACTCTCAAAGTGTTATCTATGAGACCTATCCCAACTATTGCTTTCAATGTAAGGTATATGGACACCATGCCTTTACATGCAAGGTAATAGTCGAGCAAGAAAGAAAGGAGAGGGAGGAAAAACAAAAGAATAAGGAGACTACAAAGCCGAGTCAACAACAAGACAATGCCGAGACATCAAAAGTGAACCAAGGAGATCAAAAAGAGGGTAATGTCGCGGCATTAACCCCTAACAAGGCTGCAGCCGAGGAGCGCCCTTTCCTTAAAACTATAAGGCTAAAAAAGAAAAGAATGGAAAGGGCAAGGAGGAGGAAAAGCAAACAAAGGGAGGATGGGGAAATCTCTTCCGGGTATGAGACATCTCGGGAACAAGAGGAGGAAGGTGATGAACCAAGAATTACTAAAGACTTTGGATACATTTGTGATGATGAAGTCATCACAAAAATGGATGTCGAGGAAGCTTTCACGCCAACAATAGAGGTTAAACACATTGATGACATTGATGAACCTATAATCCGCCTTGATCATTTCCTAAGAGATGTCAAGGAAGATCAACCCGGTGTATGGTTCACAAGAGAGTGCCTTGAAGGCCTTCCCGGTGTCATAAAGAGAAAGAGAGGCTACGGCTTTACTTCATGTTTTACGTCAAATGTGCTTAGGCATTACCTTGATAGATACTACGAGGATGGTGTCCCCTCGGGTAATGGAAGCAAGGTGAAAGACCCAAGAAAGTTCAAAAATAAACCGAAGAGAATTGTAGAAGATGTTCGAGAGGTATACTTGGATGATGTCATTACACACATTGATTTTCAAGAGGGGCAGCCTACAAAGATCCATTTGACACGTGCTGAGGCTATTGAGGAAGGCATGACAAGGCTAGATAACTACCTTAGAGTGGATGACAAAGGCTATGCTCAAGGACTTACGTTTATTACAAAGTGCTTGAGAGAACTACCCGGAGTGCATGTCACGGAGGAAGGGTATGATTTCTCCTCTATTTTTATGACTAATGTTTATCATCTTTTTCTTAATAGGTACAAGGATTGTGAACAATACCGCCAATGGAGGAAACAAGATGGGGAGGTAAATAGGTTGGCCAAGAGAAAGGGGAGGAAAGCAAAAGATGTTTAATGATAGTAGCTTCATGGAATGTTAGGGGGCTTAACAAAGCCTCAAAACAAAATACTATAGTGAATTCTATAAAGCTTAATAAGGTACGTATTTTTTGCTTACTCGAAATGAAGATGTCTACTACTACTTTTGCTAATTTTAAGAAGTTTAGACTACCATCGTGGTTGTATGTTACTAATTTTGATAAAATAGATGGAGGTAGGATTGCCGTGATGTGGGATCCTAATTTTGTGGAAGAAGATATAATTGATGTTAATATACAACATGTGCATGCTAGGTTTAAGTGTAGATCTACACAACTACCTTTCTATGCTTCGTTTGTGTATGCATTATATACGGTATGTGATAGAAGAGTACTTTGGGAACATTTAACCGGGTTAGCTACTAACATCCTAGCTCCTTGGGTTGTTTTAGGTGATTTTAATTGTGTGGGGGCTCCGGGTGAAAGATGTGGGCCTGCCATACCCACGGGTTATGCAATGCAAGACTTGAACACTATGAAAATGAATGCAAATTTAAGTGATGCTCCCTCAACCGGGGAATTTTATACGTGGAATAGGGGTGGAAAGTGGGCTAAACTTGATAGAGTACTTATTAACTCTTTTTGGAGTACTCGGGGGGTTGCATGCCGAGCTCATTTTCTAGAAATGGAAAGTGAATTTGATCATGTTGCATCCTTGGTTACAATTGGGAAATCTTATTTTGGTGGGACTAAGCCATTTAAGTTCTTTAATATGTGGCTTAAACATGATAAATTCTTGGATATCTTGAATGATGTTTGGAATAGGAGGGTTGTTGGGAGCTTTCAGTTTAGACTTGCTAGAAAACTAAAGCTTCTTAAACAGCCCCTCAAAATGTTAAATAAGGAGGAATTTAGTCACATAACATCTAGAGCAAAAGAATCAAAGAAAGAGATTAAGAGAATCTACCAGTTAGCCCTCTTATCTCCTTTAGATAATGCTCTCAAAGAAGAACTTTTAATAGCAAAGAATAGGTCACTTTTTTCTTAAAGAGGCCGAGGAAGCCTATCTTAAACAAAAGGCTAAGGCAATT